TAACCCTTTAATAGACTCTATAGTCAAAGGAGCCAACCCAGAACCACACATTGATACAACGTAGTCATGTCACTTTCGTCTCCTTTTGCCTAGGACTCTTCCTCATCCTTCCTTTGACTGCACTTGGAGATTATAGACCAGTCATTCTGAGGAATGTCTTCCTATGTAGCTTCTCCAATGTTTCCTCATGATTAGATTCAGTTGATGCACTTTGGGCAAGAATATTCCAGAAGTGATGTTATGTTCTTGTATTCCATTGGATAGCACAAAACATCAACTTGTCCCACCATTGGTCATGTTTACTTTGATCACCTGGTTAATATGATATTAATTAATATGATATCTGGTTAATATGATATCTGTTATGTTTGTTCTCTGTAAAGGTACTTTTCCTCCTTTGTAATTAGTGAGTAACTTATAGGAGAGATATTTTTAAATTACGTAAAATCCCATTCCTCATCTCATTTTTGCCCACTATATTTAACATCCAATAGTATTTCTTACCTGAAATTATGATGATGATGGTCATATGGCAATTTTCTTCTAAGCTTTGTTTCACATTTGTTCATTGGTATTGTGCTGTAAGTACTTTGTCTTCTCGTACTTCTTTACCTGTTTCTTTTTTATCAGTTTGGACTCATGAATTTCTATTTTATTTCATGGGTAATACTTCATTGCTACTATTATTTCTTTTGATCCTTATATTATCCCCCCAAATTACCCCAATATTGCCAGTGGAAACTCCTGCAATCAGACTTCTGTGTCCTTTTAACACCTCTTTGTCATTCATTGAGGACTTCGACATTTTCTGTCAAAAAAAAAAAAAAAGATGTTCTGGGCTTATCTTGTTTTTTTATCTGCCCAAGCCCAGTAATCAGCCATTTTCTCCAAGAAGCCCTGGTTCCTTTAGTGAAGAAGTGTATTTAGAAACCAAGATCTGGGCTCTGTGTGCACTGATTGCTACTGGAGTGTCACTGCTCCTAGGCTCTCTCAGTGGCTCAAACTAAGAAATATCTGCATGTATATACATACATTGATATCTACAGCTATCTACAGGCTGAAAACCATGACTTCATATCGATACCTCTCATTCTAATCCAGCACCAAAGTTCATTCTAGTCCCTCCACCCCACCCCTGCATATTTTTCTGACCCTTGACCATCAATGAGAAACCTGGCTCCCATAGGCCTCAATATATCAATGTATTTGCTCAATTTCCCTATGTAGCCAATCTCCTGATCCCCAAAGGACCAGTCAAACCATTCCTCATGAGGTCTCCAATCCCTGTTGACTGTCCTCTACACACTTGAACATCTTCCCTGTGGCTCCATTGCTACCCTGCTACCTTCCTCCTCAATTTACCTTCCACACATTAAAAACAGCTAGCATCTTCTATCTCCTACCATCTGGGAACCCCTCTGTCGTGCAATTCTTTAAACGCATAAAAACTCTAAGCCTTTATGCTTTCATTTCAGTGTTTTCAACTCTGTTCCTTAATGATAGTTATAGCAGAATTAGATGTTTTGTTTTTGCCACATTCCCAGAATTTAGGGCAGAAATATATATATTTGCAATCATAAAAGAATATTTGTTTCCTGCTCTTTATTTTTTTTTAAGATTTTATTTATTTATTCATGAAAGACACACAGAGAGAGGCAGAGACACAGGCAGAGGGAGAGGCAGGCTCCCTGGGGGAGCCCAATGTGGGACTCAATCCCAGGACCCGGGGATCATGACCTGAGCCAAAGGCAAATGCTCAACCAGTGAGCCACCCAAGTGCCCCTCTTGCTCTTAATTTTAAAAACGAACCATCAGCAGCACCATGTGTGGCCACTTACTAATAGCTGATTGATTGAGCTCTTGACATTTCTGTTCAAAAACTCAGTAAGTTACTGCTTAACTTATGGCCTTCAAAGATCTTCAATCCCAATGGGTCTTTTCTCCCATTGAAGACCCATCTATAGAAAAGGCTTTGCCTTTGATTTAAAGACAAAGACTCTACTAATTTGCTCCATTTATTCACTTATGGGTTCATTCATTCATCAAATGTCCACTGAGGGCCTCCTGTGCGCCTGTGGCTACCTGTGGTAATATGGACTCCAGGACACATAGTCTCCCCTGCCCTGACTATGTCTCTAGTGTTCCTTGTTCTGCATTCTGCACTGGTTTCTATTTACTGCTTGGCTGGTCAGACTGCAAGGGTGTGTGAAGGGGGCATGGGAGAAAGTACAGGAAGTGGGTCCTCATGAGACAACCAGCCCCCCCCCACCCAGGGGGAGGGGAACCACCCCCTCAGAGCCACTTTCTATTCCTCTTGGGCTGTCAGCTCCTCCAGGCCCACAGAGCAGCAAGTCACAATCCCAGGTGACCCAACAGAACTATAGAGTCTTTACCAGCTGGGTTATCTGCACTCTGGCTTCCAGGAATCTGCTGGAGGAGCAAGAGGAGGGAAAGGAGGAGGCACATCCCCACATCTATCCTCTCTTCACGGCTGCTGAAACAGCTCTGGGCTGCCTGCCCCTCTGCCCGTCTCCCCATTCCCATTCCTTCCTCCAGTGAAAGCCTCTGCCACAGGCCCTAAAAGCCCTGGGGCATGTCTTGAGACTCCAAGTGTGGCAGAGGCCAAGCTTGTTTGTGCTGTGTTCTCACTGGACAAGGGAAGGCCTGAGCAGGGCGTGGGGTGCAGCTGCAAGGTACCTTGGGTGGCTGTGATGCTATCTGGGCCTAACGGTTTCCTTTGGGTAGGCACTTCCGCCCTCCTGTTTTTGAAGCCAGAAACCTGTGCTGGGGCAGCCCCCATTCTGAGCCGAAAAGAGGACTAGATAGAGGCAGAAAGAACAAGGCGCTATGAGTCAGGGTTAGAAGACACGGGAAGAGACTATGTTCCTCTCACCAGCTCAGCCATGAACTTTTAAAAGGAAGAAAGGAAAACACAAGCACAAGTATGCATTGTAAGGTACCAGGAAATTTCCTTTCCTGCTGCCAACTCTGCCCTAGAGTCCTCACCTCTGTAGCTGTGTGGCTGAAATGGGAGGGGACTCATCCTAATTCCTGGGGGTTAGGAGCCCTTTTGGGAGCCCCCCAAATGCCCTGCTCTAAATAAAAGAAATACTTGGTCCCTATTCGTTTGAGCTTGTACACAAAGTGAAATATTATAAAAACAGCTACTCAGAGTGCCAACTGAACTGTATAGGTGAGGAAGCTGAGGATCAGAGAGGTTAAGTGACTTGTCAGAGGAAACCCAGCTAGAAAGTAGCCGAGCTAGAATTCAACCCAGAGTCTGTTTCTGAAATCGAGGTCTTGCCCCTATGTTCAGAATTAGAAAAGACTTTGGTATTTGGGCTGCTAGTGTTTTAGAAAGTCAGGCTTTAGAAGGTTGTATGACAGGAAGAAGGTCTTGTTTGTAAGACTGGTACCCAAAGCAGCAATCTAAGCACCTGAAAGACCATGGGTGGTGTTGGGATTAAGAGCTGAATCAGAGTAGCTCTTCTTAACGTGAACAAACTCTCAACTTGTCTCTGTTATGGGATTCTTTTTTTTTTTTAAGATTTTATTTATTTTTCATGAGAAAGAGAGGCAGAGACACAGGCAGAGGGATAAGCAGGCTCCATGCAGGGAGCCCCCACGTGGGACTCGGGTCTCCAGGATCATGCCCTGGGCTGATGGCAGTACTAAACCACTGAGCCTCCCGGGTCACCCTGTTATGGGATTCTTCGTGTATTTCCCTTTGCAGGGCTCCCCGTTGCCCACCTGGCTGTGGCCCTCTGAGATGGCCCTGCCTGTCTCAGGTGAACTGGGTGAGGCTTTGGGGACAGGGCAGGGCAGGCCAGTGCTGCAGGGAAACAGAGGCATCCGTCCTGCCAGCCCAATCCCCTCCTGCTCACAGTCCTTGCCGGCATCTCCCCTCTCCTCTCTGTCCTGCGGGGAGGGTCCCAGAAGGGGCACCTAGGGCTGCTGGCCAGCACTCAAGTTGGTAGCTCAGAAATATCCCACTGCAGATTCCAGGTCCCACACCCCTCCCGCAGCCTCCTCTTCCTCAGCCTCTCCGACGCCCAGAGGCCTGGGACAGCCCCGGGGGAGGGTTGCTATGCTGGGTCTTATGGGAATCGGATGTTCAGGACCTTGCCCTTTACTCTCTTTCATAGGAACGGCGCAAAGGCCCTTTAGCATGCAGCTTGTGGGAGCTGAGATTCCCACAGCATCCAATGCCTCAATCAAATCAGAGCGAGAGAAAAAAGATGTCATGCTACAGGGGACTTGAAAATTCTTCCTGGGATCCCCTGCGGTCCCCCAACCCCTCTAACTCCCCCCAGCACCCGGGCGGGCACAGAGGAGAGATGGATAGATTGATAGCGGTTTCCTGAAAACGCGAGAGTGCACGTGGAAAGGACAAGAGACGCGAAATAGGAAAGGTGGTCCTGTGGCTCCCACGCTGAGCGCCCAGCGGAGGTCCTGCCCTCCCACGCGACCGTGCCAGGAGACCCAGGTATGACACGAGTGCCGTAATTTTTTTTTTTTAAGAAAAGGAGGCAAGAAAGCAATAAAGATGCACGTAAAAGAAAGAAGCAGTAAAGAGGGGAAGATAAGAAGAATAAACGAGCGGCTTTAACTTGTAGGGCAAGCGCTAGGCATTTTGAAGGGGGGCGAGGCTTGAGAAGAGCTGGGACCTGCAGAGACCGGGGTCCTGCAGAAAGTTCGCGGGGAAGAGGGGCCAGGCGGCCGTCCCATCCCCATGTTTGGGCAGATTAATGGAGTCGTGACTCCCTCGCTCGAGTCCTGCCCTGGGAGGGGACAGTATCTGTTTAGATTTGCGTCTAAATTTAAACCCTGATCGCCGGCCTCCCTCCCCCGCTCCCCACCCCTTCCCCCTCCCGCGGCCTCCCCCGGCCTCCCCCTCCCTCGTGCTCCCGCGCAGGGCCGGGCCGCCCGCAGTCCCGAGCGAGGCAGCCGGCGCGCCGCCGCCCCCCTGCCCTGCCCTGCCCCAGCCCCTGCCCCAGCCCCTGCCCCAACCCCGGCCCCTGCCCCTGCCCCTGCCCCGGCCCGCGCTGGGAGCCGAGCGCACAGCGAGCGCAGCCGCCGCGGAGCCGGCACCTGGAGACCATGGAGGTAAGGCCCCGCGCGGGCTTGAGGAGGGGGTGCGGGGCCCCGGGCCGCCCGGGAGGGGGGCGAAACGCCCCCGGCCCAGCCCCGGGCTCCCCGGGCCACCCCGCTGAGCGGGCGGGGGGGGGGGCGGGAGGACCGCCCGAGGGAGGGCGCGGGGTGGGCAGCGGGGCGCCCTCGGGGGCCAGGTGCTGGGGTGAGGACCTCTCCGCTCGAGAATTAAAAAGTTAGGTGCGGCCGACTTTGTAGATGGGCAGACGTGTGGGCAAAAGTGGCAGGAGCAGACGCCCCTGACCTCAAGAGATGGGCGTTAAAAGAGAAACAGAACGGGCGACGTGAGGCGCTTGTGCGCCGGGCTGTGCGCTTCCCTTTCCGACTGAAGATTGACCTTCCAGAGAGTCCTCTTGCTTCTCGAGTGCCTGTGTCCGTCGCATCTTTCAGAACTTCCTGCAAAGCTCCCCCGGTGGGTAGTCCAATGGCACCCTTTGCCACCAGCCTTGAGGCTCCCGGGCGTGTCCCTGCCTCCTGGGACGGCCGTGCGGAGGTGTGCTGGCCGCACGCGCGGGGTGCACCGGGTGCCGCCCGGCTCCTCGGCAGGGCTCTTTCCTGGTCCCGGTCCAGCCTCCCTCCAGGGGAGGAATGCCGGGTGTATGCCCGGTCCCTCCCTTCGCCACAATTTGAGGCTTCCGCAGACTTCCCCCTTGAAATGGAGAGCTGACATTTAGCCCTCAGCCAATCCCAACAGGACAGGGCTTTTGAACAAGATGAAAGGAGAAGGTGCAGATGTTATGTAGCTTCTAAGGTGATTCCCACCCACATTCAAAAGGAAGATTGTTCCTCCCGAGGCTGTAGTCAGCAGCCACCAGGACTCCAGCAGGAGCCCTGGCTGGCTCGCAGCTAGACCCCTGCTGGGCCTGGAAGCTCTGTGACTTCTCTGCAGGGCTGTAGGTCTGTCCGGAGCAGGCCTCCTGCATTCAGGCATGCAGTTCCACTGGTTGTCTCCAAGGAACAAGGATCATCTTCAGGGGGCCTTTAGAGTGTGGGATCCACCCTCCATAGAAACATTTGCAAGTCAGGGAAACTCGGGCAGATAAGCGCTGGGGAAGGGTGGTGGGGAACATGCAGCTAAGCTCAGCCGTGGTGTCCACACTGCTCAAAGATCCTCTAAGCATAGAGCATCAGGGTTCTCTCAGGCTGGCTCTAACTTCAGGGCAGAGGGGGCAGATGGCAGACTTGTCAGGTGGTATGAATGAAGGCTCCTAAGGAAGTTGCTTGAAAAGTGGGTTCCCTCATCTGGGAAAGTACAGGGGGGCCTCAGGCCCTAGGCTAGAGGTTCAGTATGCTTTAGGACCCGTCTCAGCTCTTGCCAAAATGGATTGGGCATAAGAGCAAAGCAAGCTTAAAAGCATGTTGCTCCTTGGGGGCCAAATGAGTATGTGAACTTTGTTCTTGGAAGATACAGAGGGACTCCTTCCACAGAGGCCCATCTTCTCCCTCAGCTGAGGAAGAAACAGGGTGTATATGTGGTAGAGGCCCTGAAAGGGTCACCTGAGCAACTTCCTGTATGGCTGGGGGCCCAGGAAAAGACAAGGCCCTCCGGTCCCCAGATGGAGGCGTGTAATAACTGCTGGGGGATTTTACCAAGTTGGGGCCTGGGAGGGATTTGCTCAGTCAGCCAGGAAACCTGTCAGTTTGCCCTGAGACCACCGCTGGGCACTGCTGATCGACAATGACTGTTTTTGAAGTTCCTTTGTCAGAACCACTCAGAAAAGGACTGCAGTAGCAAAGCCCTGGAAAAGGAAGTAAAGAGGAAACCCAGAGGCTGGGGAAGTGACGTTTCAATTTGCAGCCAGGAAGCAAACTTTTCATGGTGGGACATGATATGCAGCAGTGGGATTTGGGAACTCCTGACAAATCGCAGAGTAAAAGCCTCTTTGGAGAGATGAATCCCACTTTCGAGGCATGAAGGCACCACACTCTATTTGGGGAGCAACCAAGTTATATGATATCTCAGTATTAGGAATTCAAGCCAGACCAATAAGGCTTACTCAACATTCATTCTCTAGAACCCACTTACCTATTAGAAGTCTTCAGGAAATCTTTATATATATATATATATTATTTATTTATTTGACAGAGAGAGAGCAGAAGCAGGGGAGCACTAGAGAGAAGGGAGAAGCAGGCTTCCCGTTGAGCAGGGAGCCCAACGTGAGGCTCCATCCCAGGACCCTGAGATCTTGATCTGAGCCGAAGGCAGACACTTAACCAACTGAGCAACCCAGGCGCCCCATCTTTTCTTTTTTTAAGCCACTATTACCATTATTGACAATCTCAATCATTGCTTCAGCCCTCATTTAAGCCCTCTGGAATAGACAAGAGAAAGATATCTTTTTAAAGCTGACAATCCAGTAGGGCAAATGAGACTTACTGGATCCTGTCATGTATGTATTTTCAAATGTGTAAATGCCAAATGAATGACTACTGCGGATCATAAGTGCTACAGTACTCGGGTGTTTGGAGGTGAGACCTGACAGAAGCCTTGAAAAAAAAGGTGGGTGGTGAGGAGGAGAAGGCATAGGAATGGGTACGGGGAGAACATGCCAGCTTTGTTCAGGAAAGTAGGCCAGTTGGCTGGAGAGGAAGGTAGGGAAGCAGCGCGAGAGAAAAATGAAAGTAATAAGATAAAAACCACAGGGCCTCCAAGTATAATGGATGCTGGCCAAGTGGGTGAGTGGGAGCTGGAATCCAAGCCATCTGGAGGAAAGGGTTACTTTTTCTTCATACAAAGTCTCCTTGTCTTGCTGTGCCCCCAAAGGGGTGCCTTTTTCTAAGACAGAGGCCAGCTGTGGCCCTCAAAGGCCAGATAGTGGATGGCCCTGGGTTCTGCTCCACAGAGAGTAGGAAACTCTGCAGAGCATTTAGTAAGATGGTGGCCATGAAGAAGCAGGGATGACCTGGCAGAAATGCCAGTTCATAGAGTCAGCAGGGGAACCAGGCTGAGAAGTTTCTCTAAGTGTCCGTGCAGATTCTGACTTCGAGAGAGAGTAAGGGTGGAAAAGATGGAAGAGTAAAGACCATGGGTCAAAGGAGAAATCAGAAATGACGTTCATGTTTGAGCTCCCCAGGGTGCCCAGAAGAGCGGAGTTGTCCGAGACACCAAGGAGAATGGCAGTGCAGCTTTTACGTAAGCCTATAAGCCTTTTGTAAGCAGAGTCTGTCCTGTTGGTCTTTCAGTCTCCAGAGATTAGCACAGTGCCTTGAATTATAATCATCTCACTTCTCGAGAGAAGTTTGCTTGGTAAATTAATTAACAGGAACTCCTTGACACCTCAGTCCATAGCTCTTGTGACTCCTTGGGAAGCCTTCCCAGATGCCCTCAGACTCTGTAGCTCTCTCCTCAAACACTTTGTGCAAACTGGACCTGGGTACTAGGTCCCACTTGTAACGTCTGCCCACCTGCCTCTCTCCCTGAGAGTATCCCAACAGACACTCAATACATGCATTCTAAATGAGTGAATAAATGATTGATGGTGAGAGAAAGATCAGGGTTTTTTTTTTTTTCTTTATAGAAACCACTCAGATGGCATCCCTTCCTTCTAGTTCCCCCCAAAGGAGAAAAAAGAACGATCATCAAGGACAAAGGGCAGCACCAAAGTGACGCCCAAAGCCAATTTCACGCTCAGGAAGGGACACTGCACCTCCTCTTTGTGGTTTCGGGTACCCTACACGTTCAGAGAAACTTCTCTAGTAACAAACTATAGAAATGATCCCTGAAAGTATAGTCTTAGGTTTTTTGTTTTTTTTTTAAAGCAAAATTTAGGTATATTGGTTTTTGAAATGCCCAGCATTCCACAAGAAATACAGACCTCTTAGGATACAAAAAGGATTCTTCTTTAGAAGAGCTAATGGGTGACATCACTGTGGATAAGAGCCCAGAAAAGAGAAATATATAGTAAAGAAAGAGTTGGAGGCTTAGGACATCCAAATTAAATTAATATTCTTATTAATTTAAATTTAAAATGTAGGGCAGCCTGAGTGGCTCAGCTATTGAGCATCTGCCTTCGGCCCAGGGCATGATCCTGGGGTCCTGGGATCGAGTTCCACATCGGGCTCCCTGTGAGGAGCCTGCTTTGCCCTCTGCCTGTGTCTCTGCCTCTCTGTGTGTGTGTGTGTCTCTCATGAATAAATGAAATCTTAAAAAAAATTTTTTTTAATGTAGTCCCTACCAAATAGCCTGAGAACACTTGCAAAAAGTTCAATCTTCACAGATGAAATCCTTCATTTGTTCAACAAATAGTAGACACATGAAAATTAACCTTATCTCCCAAAACCATGTGTCTACTATTTCTTCTTTTTTAAAAAAGATTGTATTTATTTATTTTAACAGAGAGAGAGAGAGAGAGAGAGTGCAAGCAGGGAGAAGAACAGAGGGAGAGGAAGAAGCAGGCTCTTTGCTGGGAAAGGAGCCTGATGTGAGGCTCCATCCCAGGACCCTGGAATCATCACCCAAGCCAAAAGCAGATGCTTAACCCACTGAGCCACCCAGGCACCCATGCATCTACTATTTAGTTGAACATATGAAGGATTTCATCTGTGAAGATTAAACTTTCTTGCCACTGAACAGTTCATTAATTTCTAATTTAGATGGAGACAATTAATGAGCCCTTTTCTCTGAGGCTATGCTAAGTCCCTTCCAGACATCATTTGTTCCTCATCCATTTATTCAGTATTTTTTGAGCATTTATTACATACTGAACCTTGTGTTTGAAATGTTTCTTAAAAATTACTGGACTATCCTGCTTTTTCCTCCTCACAAACTATCTGTATTACTGACAATGAGAGAGAAATGGGGTGGGGCTGGGGGATCAGAGTGTGTGTATCCATGTACCTGTGTATATAATGTGTTCAATTCGTAACCTACTTTTTTACTGATTTTTTAAAATTTCATCAATTTTTTTTTACCACAATTTCACCAACAGCCTTTGCTGTTTTGGGACCCACCCTCT